GTGTGGGTGGGTTTGCGGTACACCTCAGTTTGCAAATGTCCTCTATCAGAGACTGAGACCTCACAGTCCAAGAAACTAGTCGCAAACTACAAAAAAGGTTGAATCATGTCATCTGGACTTCGTTTTTTTTGTTAAAAAGAAACGTTTCGCCCCTCATCCAAGAGGCTTCGTCAGTCTGAGGCCTAGCCATCTGGTATTACCCAGAAGCCACCCTGACTCTTGTGTTTCAAGCCTGCCTCAGATACCCCTGATGTCTGGCCTTTTCACTAATGGTTTCAAAAACACAAAGTTTGTTTTCTCAGTCATCAGGATCAGGCCAGACTTCAGGGGTATCTGAGGCAGGCTTGAAACACAAGAGTCAGGGTGGCTTCTGGGTAATACCAGATGTCTAGGCCTCAGACTGACGAAGCCTCTTGGATGAGGGGCGAAACGTTTCTTTTTAACAAAAAAAACGAAGTCCAGATGACATGATTCAACCTTTTTTGTTGTTATATACCTGGATGACTGAGAAAACAAACTTTGTGTAGTCTCAAACTAGTTAGAGAGTTTGAGAAAACAGCAAGGAAGAGGGCAGACTACAGGAACCATTTGCGATTCAACCTCAGATGTCAACAAAGTGGCATCATTCCCAAGAGGCCATATGGGATCAGGACGGCAAGCCGGGGTGGAGCCAAAAAACCTTCCCGCTAGATCATCCGATCTGGGCAGGGGAAGGAGAGGGACAGAAAAAAGTCCCTTCATGTCAGCCGCCTCCCGGATTATGCCGGGCAGCTCCAGAGGAGGGCACCGACGGCTGGGAGCGTTGTGGTCGCCAATGCGAAAAAGGTCCGGGGGGGCTCGTTCCGACACTACGCTCTCCAGGATGGAGTGAGCAGCGGGGGCTGTTGTTGATGTTGCCTGTCCCAGAGGAACCATCCGATTTGCTCCGAGAGTCGGCGATAAAAGGAAAAATAAAGGATGGCGTCGTCCAGCGTGTAGCGACCCGCCACTGAGAAATATTCCTCGACGCTTACCTTGAAACAAGACTGCTCGTCTGCTTCTCCTCGGGGAGGAGAACTTACCGGGACGGCAGGAGGTTGGCGTGGCGGGACCACAGGCAGCCTTAACAAAGGTTGTGCTGGTCAATCTGGACAACTTCCCTTCTTCGTTCTTCTGACAGTGCTATTAGATTGCTGAAGAAAAACGGGAGCCGATTACCCACTCTTAACGTAATTTATACGGACCGGGTGGGGCCCACACAACAGGTGGGCGTGGACTAAACTTTTCAGTGCGATGCTTTGCATGATGGGATAAAGTCCATCAGTGACAGCCTTAAAGGGCGAAGCCTATACGAAATAGAACTAAAACTGGAGAAATATGATCTCTCCTAGTAACTCCAGTTAAGACTCTGGCAGCAGCATTTTGGATCAACTGAAGACGTATTAAAGAAGTATTTGGACATCCAGATAATAAACCATTGCAATAGTCCAGTCTAGACGTGACAAATGCATGGACCAGTTTTTCTGCATCATCTTTAGATCAGATGTTTCTAATGTTAGTGATATTACGCAGGTGGAAGAAGGTGGTTCTAGTAACGTTTTTAATGTGGGGGATAAAAGACATGTCCTGATCAAAAATAACACCAAGATTTTTAACATTAGAGCTGGAGGACAGATTAATGCCATCTAAAGAGGGAGAAAGACTGAAAAATTATTTCCTAAGGTGCTCAGGTCCAAAAACCAAAACCTCAGTCTTGTCTGTGTTCAACAGGAGAAAATTAAGAGTCATCCAGCTTTTTATGTCTTTAAGACATGCTTGTAGTCTAAGTAGCTGATTGGATTCATTGGGTTTAATGGACAAATATAACTGAGTATCATCAGTATAACAATGAAAATTCATCCCATACTGTTTAATAACTTTACCTAATGGAAGCATAAATAAGGTAAAGAATATTGTCCCAAGCACTAAACCTTGAGGAATTCCATGACTAATTTTGGTGTTTGATGAAGATTCATTATTTACATTTACAAACTGGAGTCTATCAGATAGATATGATTTAAACCAACTTAGAGCTGTTCCTATAATTTCAATATCATATTCAAGTCTCTGTAGTAAAATATTGTGATCAACTGTATCTACTGAAGGCAGCACGGTGGTGCAACTGGTAGAGCTGCTGCCTCTCAGCGCGGAGGTCCCTGGTTCCAGTCTCTGTCTGGGGGCCTTTCTGGGTGGAGTTTGCATGTTCTCTCTGTGCATGCGTGGGTTTTCTGCAGGTACTTTGGTTTCCTCCCACATTCCAAAAACATGCATGTTAGGCTGATTGGTAACTCTAAATTGTCCCTAGGTGTGAGTGAGAGAGTTGTGGAGTGTGGTTGTTTGTCTCGTTTGTCTCTATGTGTCCCTGTGATGGACTGGAGACCTGTCCAGGGTGTCCCCTGCCCCTTGCACAGTGATTGCTGGACATGGGCACCGGCGACCCCCGTGACCCAAAATGGAAGAAGCGGGTAAAGATAATGGATAGATGGATGTCTCTACTGGTACTCTCTTTGAGACTCTACTTCCTCAGGCGGCTGAGATGAGCTGGTCTGGGAAGCTCAGTCCTCACCTTCTTCTACAGGTGTGCAGTGGAGAGCATCCTGTGCTCCAGCATCAACGTGTGGCATGGAGGCTGCACAGCTGCAGAAAGAAAAGCTTTGCAGAGAGTGGTGAAGGCTGCACAGAAGACTGTTGGAGTCAGTCTCCCCACCATCTCAGACATCTACACCTCCAGATGCAGGAAGAGGGCCACCTGCATCATGAAGGACCCCACTCACCCAGCACACACACTTTTTGCCCCACTCCCCTCAGGAAGGAGGTTGAGGAGCATTAAGTGTAGAACCACTAGACTGAGGAACAGCTTCTACCCTGAGGCTGTTAGACTCATGAATCTCTAACTAGAATAATCCCTGTGAAAATATTACATCATGTTGCTTGATTGTGATAGGTCACTTTATCCATGCTGCTGATTATCCATGCTGCTGATTATCCATGCTGCTGATCCGTTGCCTTTAAGCTGCTGTATTCATATCCATCTGCTCACAATTTTCTGGCTTATATTGTATTATTTTATAATTTTAGTGTTTAGTTTATAGCTTAGATCCTTATATGCTGTTTCTTTTTATGCTTTATGTTTGAGCTATTTTTGGCTGTAACTGGGACCTCGAGTACAGTTTTGTTCCACCTCATGTACCACATGTGATGTGAATGACAATAAAGAACCTTGAACTTTTTTGAATTTATTCAAAGGTGTTGCTTGGTCATGAGCAGCAGGATTTATTTTATTTTTAATTCAGCTGCATCTTTGGTCGTGAATAAAAACTGATCAAAAATGTTTTAAATTATTTATCAATATAAAGAAATGAGACATATGATCAGATGAGCTTTTTTTGGCAGAGAGAAAGAAAAAACTTACAGAATATTCAGTTTGATTCATCACCACAAAAACTTTGTTATTACTGTATTATCATCATTATTCTGATGATGATCATGATGTCCAGCGGTCTGTGTGAGACGCTGCAGTTAATCTGCATGTTGTAAACCGGCGGGGGAACATGTCAATCCAACACAGAACCACCGGGAAGCGAACCTGTGGGCTTTGTGCTGCTAACCACTGCACCTGTAACAGCTTCAATAACACCTGAAGCTCTTTCATTTCTTTAAGGGATTTTAAACATTTGATAAAAACCTAAAAAATATGTTCCTGTTTTTAGTATTTTACCTTGTTTTATAATGATTTTATTGTTTTATATTGTTTGTTCTTTACATGTTGTCTGTTTAAAACAGGTCTCTGGTAAATGAGTCCTCGTGACTCAATGAGACTAACCGGGATAAATAAAGGTTGAATGAATTAAAACTGCCCCTGACTGTGGTTATTAATATTATTATTATTATTATTATTATTATTTTATTTATTATTATTATTATTATTATTACTATTGTTGTTGTTGTTGTTGTTGTTGTTGTTGTTGTTGTTGTTGTTG